AGAGAGAGAGAGAGAGAGAGAGAGAGAGAGAGAGAGAGAGAGAGAGAGAGAGAGAGAGAGAGAATAAACGATCCCATTCACACGTATCAGAGTGCCCATGCCGGTAATCTGAAGGGTCCTCGCAGCAATTTAGCAAAGACCCTCCAATCGAGGCAGGCAGTGAATACGAAGTGGAGCACAAGCTGGCGGAATATAAACTCAGGATTCATATTCAGGTCTGTGTTTCAGCAGTTATGGGTTGCTCACTTTGCTAGGCCCTGTTGGTCTCTGCACGTGATTCTCAGGGCTTGGTTGCAGTACTCACCAAATGTGCAGAATTAGAATGAATCTTCTGCTAGAACGTGGAGTAATACGCCGCCATATGTTTTGTCCTTTGTGCATGTGGTGAGTAGAGGCCCTTAGGGCAACTGCAAATGTGCAGAATTAGAATGAATCTTCTGCTAGAACGGGGAATATTATGCCGCCATATGTTTTGTCTTTTGTAGATGCCCTTAGGGCCACTGCACGTATTCCTACGAAAAGAAAAACGAGAAAACAAAAGAAAAACGAGAAACAGAGAATTAGTGACCCATAACTGTGATGCACAAACCTGAATTCGAATCCAGACTAAATATTCTCGGCCCACGCAGACAAACTAGAAGTCTGATGTCCATCTCTGCTCCACGAGGGGTCCTTGCTAATTCATAGGGGCCCTTCGGAAATGAGACTGGACTCAAATAGGACATGCACACCCACACGCACACACATGTGCTCACAATGTTGGGGTATGGGGTGGCCCCAACTTTTTTCCCTCTTGCAGTTTGATTTTCGGAAGCAAGGGGCATGTTTGGCCACCCCACCCTGTCCTTTCAAGCACTGCATCACGTGTGCGTGCGTGCATGTGCGTGCGCTCTGCGCCGCATGTGCCGTGACCCTGGGCACGGGACGCACCGCAGTATGATACATCGTCGAGCAGATATGTGCAAGTGTGCCACTTTGGCGGCAGACGGGTGTGTGGGCACTTGTCCCTGAACCACACAAACGTGGCCAACCTTGCATCTTCCACTATACTGTTTCTCTGTTTTTTTGTTTTATGGATGGGCTTTGTGATGATTGTTGGATGGAATGAGAGAGAGAATTTGTTTTTGTTTTTTTTTAAAACACACACATACAAAACTCGAAAGTGCTGCATTGTATAGGAATAATAGGATGGACTGTCTCTTTTCTTTCACACTTTTTTTCGTTTTCCCTCCAGGACTCACCTTTGCATAACCAGAGTTCCCCGTGCTGTCTTTTTGTCCCCCTCAGCGTTCTCCTTCCTTCTCTTCCAATGTATACAGCAGAAAAGAAAGGTTCAATGATTCAATCAGTGTCCTAGCTGTAATAAGTTTGCTAACCCATGGTTTTGTTTGTTTGTTTGTTTGCCTTTGTCAGAGTGCTCGATGTGTGGCACAAAAGTTCGTCAAAGAAAAGAAAGGAAAGCATGGTTGCATACCTGCCTACCGCCGACCCTGACCGCCGACCGTTTTGCAGAGGACCAGTAGGGCCGACCGGTCGGCGGTCTGCCAATCAGAAAACAGCCATCCACTGATTTTTTTTCAGATCTGAGTTGGAAGCTGTACTGCGCTTGCTAGTACAGCCCAAATCCACTGAGAAACTTTTGGGGATTGGGGGTTGGGTTGGG